CTTAGGAAATTTACTACAAATATGTCCACAAATTGCCGAGAACCAAGCTTCAGATATGGATCCAGCATCACCATCAAGTAATTCTATAGTTTGACCACCAATTAATAACTCTGAATAAAACTCCAGTAATTTTGTAACAATTTCACTATCTGGATGATTAACAGAAAAAATTTTGTAAATTTCTCCTAATTCACGGAAAAAATGCTCCAAACCCAAGCTCATATTATCAACTTCTTCCCAAATTTTTGCGATTTCTTCACGAATTTTTTTTTCATTTTCTTGACCTCTATTGCTCAAACTGGATTTACGTAGCTCATTTTTTTTTAATACGGCTTGATAACGAGCTTCGGCAGATTCTATCATAGATATTCTGGAAACTTCTCTTTCAAGATGTGCTAGAGCTCTCCTTCTCTTTCTAAAAGATAATTTTAGAATTTTTGTATACTTGCGAATTAATTCCTGTAATTCATTATTATTTTGCCAAATTTGAAGACCATTTTCTGATTGTTGTTTTCTTTGAAGTTGAAAAACTTTTAATTTAATGTGGCGGCATTTTTTGTCCTTAACAAAATTTATCAAATCCTGGGACTCACGAGTCTCAATATTTTCAGTCATTCGAAGTGATTCTCCAAGTCTTAATGTATTAATAGTAATAGATGAAGCATCTTGTGATTCTCCCAGTCTTAATGTATCAATAATATCAAACGAAGCATCTAATGCTTCTTTGAACATCATGCGCACTTTTTTTAACGTTTTATCTTGCATTAAATAATTAGTGTCAATTGCATATTTCTTTTTATCTCTGACATTTCTATGATTTACGTAACCAAATACTATTTTCCTGGAACCAACTAATTCTTCGAAATCTTTTATTTGATTTTGAGTATGCCCAGGCATTAAAAAAACCAAAAAACTAGAAGGAAATTGACTTAAAAATTTAATTTGATCCGGATATTCTAAAGCATCACCGTGTAAATTTGCAAGCAATACTATCTCTTTATTCGCTCCTTTTGTATAGTAGTCTTCAAAAACATCATTCCATAAATTCACTTGACAAGTTTCTTGAGTCAACCAAGTAAATTCAATACTTCCATCGATCATATGCGGAATTCCATATTCTGCTCTTGGCTCGGAGCATGAAGAGAACATAGTATTTGAAGTCATCAATTGATTAAGTATAGTGCTTTTTCCTTGAGAATTTGCTCCAATTCGAACTGCAACAATCAGTTTGAATGGATCAATGAAAAGATGGTTTTCAACAATGGTTCCAGGTTCAGTTTCCCATTTAATAACTGGACCAGTAAATAAAGGAAGCATCACTTTAAATTTATCTGCTTTATCTAATTCAGGAATTATTAAAGGAAATGCGATCGGGAACTGAGATAGGGTTCGAAACATATCTTGACCTACGGTACATTCAGCAGAAGCAAACAAACTAGCAACACAATCAAATCGAGACAATCTATTTTTATTTAGTAAATGAGAATATTCCTCTTTGTCTATCAAATCTGTATCCTCGTCAGAATCATCATCTTCAATCAAAGTCTTGATATTTTCTGATTTAAGAATACCTGCACCCCACATCTTTACTTTCTGTCGAATATATGGAAGAACTGTAATTATACACTTATGTCTTTGAGAAGCCGGTAATTGTGGAGGTTGTTTAATGATTTCGCTGAGTTCAACATGATGATAAGGTCCAATCATAGGTATTTCTTCTCCTAGAATCGAATGCCATTGTTTATGTATACGTACTAGATTATTTTCAACCATAATATCTTACTGTGTGAAAAGATTGAGCGAAAATTGCACTATATATGTTATATACTCATGACCAGTTTGAGCAGGAAATTCTTAGATTATCTAGAATCATCACCAAAAATGAACGTTAATTACTGGTTAAATTATTTCGTGGGAAACTTTTAAATTTAAAAGACTTTAAAAGACATGTTGTACATTTGATAAAAAAAACAAAGTTCAGCCTTTAACAGAAAATAATTGTGACACTAGGATATCAAGAAATGATAAACCAAAAATAGTACAAATGTGTAACTAATTAAAACTACCTATATGTAGTATCATATGAAAATTTGTTACGAAATTTTTTTTTATAATTGATCCACATGATACAGTTTTGTTTATAAGCTTCTTTTTGAATAATCGCATAATGATCGGCATATATATTATATTAGTTGTTAGTAATCAGCTGATCTGAATTTTTGGCCATTGTCAAAAAAGGAAGGAATAGGTCTTAATTTGGTTAACATATAGCCCATTTTTAATAATAAATGTATATGTCACATAATTTAAATTTCATTTCAATTAAATTTCAATATATCAATTGATAAAATTAAAAAATGGACAACAGTTGTTAATTTCACAAATTGAAAGTAGGTAAAATTACAATGAAGTCATCCTTTTTTTATTATGTTTATAATTATAAAATTGCACAAAATTTTTTCTTTTTTTTCACAATTAAAAAATGCTTAATAATTTTTTAAAAAATTTTGCTAATTATAAATACCGTCCTTTGAGAGAGATAGAAACAAATGATGATGTAATTATTATCTCTTTAATACATCACTTTGTGAACCGTAAATTAATAAGTATATGATAATCATATATACCTATTTTGTGAAACAAATCCTATTTCTCGAAACAGCGCTTTTCAAATGCAGTAGTCAATCGAAGAATAATTAACCCTAACATGATCATTGTTGTTAAATTTCGATTCTCTTTCCGAATCCCTTATTTTGTTGTCGTTATTTATTGTTGACATATTAGTCACCGTACTTCTTCTTTTATCAATTAAGATGTACGTGAAGCGTGCCCCTTGGGTATCGTGGTACGATCATCTTCTTTTTGCATTTATGGCATTAACTAAAACTTTTTATCGATACCCTCTTCGATTGTGATCGTGTATGTAATTATAGCGTTCAATTTTCCCACACTATTAATTAGTAATTACATGGTACTCTTCCTGTGATCAATAACACATTTCAATAATAAATTTTTTTCGAATAATCACCTATGAATTTAAATATAAGATTTTAAAATTAGACTTATTTAATTTTATTAAAAAAATATACATATTAACATTGACTAAAATTAGTGCTATTCGATATGCCAGGCCAGCACATTCCAAAAGAAATTTTTTTCAAAAACTTGGTATATCAAAAATCTGGTATACCGAGAACAAATTTAGTTATTATAGATTGTAGTAATCCGTTCTAGACCTCACCTCGACAGCTCCTTTATATTTTACTTATGATTCAGTTTATCAAAGATCCAGTTCAACAAAATTCGCTGTATAAATAGCGAAACTATTTTATCATTTAACATCTTTTAGAAATAATAGACCCTTAGTTTGAGTCAAAGCCTGTTTTTTGATTTAAATAGCTATTCGGTTCAAATTTTTCTGTAATCCTTTTCTATTCCTAACTTATTGGTTAAAAAACAGGCATTTTACTAGTATTACTAGGAATGTAAGCCGAAGCGAAAAAAATTAGAGATTGGAATCGATCGATTAATTGATCGTTAAGACGATTAAATCCCTCAAAAATCGGTTAAAAAGCAAACCAAAATAGATAATTATTCCTCTCGATAAATTTTTTTTTAAATATATTTAGTTAAATTAACTTCATAAAAAAGTATTTAAATTTTTTTTTAAAATAAACCTTTGTTTATAATTACATCATCATAAAATGACTATTTAACATGAGTGATAATGAAACTGAATGTACTATCATAGTTGTCATCAAAATTATTTATGGAATAAGGCGACTTGGTTTATAGTTTTCTTTTTGTACTACTTTTGATTCTATTTTTATAGTCTCCTTGCAGTTGTATTGAAGCTTTGTTCACTCTGTAAAATAAAAATAACCATTTTTTAATAGCAAAGAAAACTTATAAATAAAAATTAAAAAACAATTAAGTACCTAAATTGTATTGACTGTTGATTAATTGAGGGTCACAAACTATTAAAACTAAAAAAATTTTTATCCAAAAATAAAATTATTAAAATAGAAAATAGTCCGAACCCAGATGTGCCGTTTAAAGTATACATCGACATGATGTCACGACTGTCATGTGTCAAATGGCGTGACTGATTTATAAAAATTCCATTGATTATTATATTCGGGCTATATTTTTTTCCGATACACTGATTTTATTTTTTAAGCATGACGACTATGACGTCCAGAAAATTTTTCTTTATTTCACTTTCTAATATTCCTTATATTTAGAGTTAAGGGCTTTCAGCAGGTAATGCCCTAAAAAGTTTCATAATAATATTACGTGTTAGTATAGCAGGATTTTTTAATTTTTTTATAATAATTCAAAATAATCATTTATTATATTTTGTATCGAGAACGGAAAAATTTTATTATTGAATGTAACTATCACATTTTATCAAATGAACAGAAATCCAAAAACGAAATAATTTAATTATATTATTATAATGAATTTTGTACACTTACTGTATATATTAAGTTTTATTTATGAAAATATTCAATTTATACTCAATTTTATTGGAGAAAAAAATACTGGTAAAGTTGCAAAGTTGCTTCTTATAATCTTAAAATTTTTAAAAAATTAAACTTATTTATTTTTTCATTGACATTTTTTTTTATTATGGAAATTGGACATAGTTTAACGCAGATCAGTGAACCGGAAAAAACATGGCCCGAATTATTTAACTTCTTCAGTTCCACTTTTGGTTAAGATATTCCTGATTCATGACATTATCCGTTAGACTGTTATGACGTACAAAAAAAAATTTAAAATAAATATTTTTTTTTTTCCGTAAAATAAATTTCCAAATTTTCAAAATAACCAAAATGGAAACTAAATTTGATAATTTAAATATCTCAGATAAAAATACTGATACATTAAACAACAAAAATTGTCTTTATTGCAATAAACTTCTTACTGAAGAGTTATGGTGTAAAGAATGTATTAATTCTTTAGAAAAATCAGCAGAAAATGGTGACGAAGAAGCAATGTTAAATTTAGCCAATAGTTATAGAGATGGAAAAGGAGTGGAAAAGAATTTTGAAAAAAGCTTTCATTGGTATCAAAAAGCATCAGAGAATGGTTATACTGATGCAATGCTTGTTTCAGCCATATGTTATAAAAATGGAGAAGGAACAGAAAAGAATTTAGACAAAGCTTTTCAATGGTATCAAAAAGCAGCAGAAAATGGTATTAAAAAAGCAATGACTAATTTAGCAGCATTTTATTATAGTGGAATTGGAACAAAAAAGGATTTAGAAAAAGCTTTTTATTGGTGTCAAAAAGCAGCAGAAAATGGTGACAAAGTAGCAATGTTTATTTTGGCCAATAGATATTATAATGGAGAAAAAACAGAAAAAAATTTAGAAAAAGCCTTTCATTGGTGTCAAAAAGCAGCAGAAAAAGATCATATTAAAGCAATGTTAAATTTAGCTATGTGTTATGAAAATGGAGAAGGAACAGAACAGAATTTAGAAAAAGCCTTTCATTGGTGTCAAAAAGCAGCAGAAAAAGATCATATTAAAGCAATGTATAATTTAGCTATATATTATGAAAATGGAGAAGGAACAGAAAAGAATTTAGAAAAAGCTTTTCAATGGTATCAAAAAGCAGCAGAAAATGATAATGAAAATGCAATGTTTTGTTTAGCCAGTATGTATTATAATGGAGAAGGAATAGAAAAGAATTTAGAAAAAGCTTTTCAATGGTACCAAAAAGCAGCAGAAAATGATGATGAAAGTGCAATGTTTTTGATAGCTGATATGTATTATAATGGAGAAGGAACAGAAAAGAATTTAGAAAAAGCTCTTCATTGGTACCAAAAAGCAGCAGAAAATGGTATTAAAGAAGCAATGTTTTATTTAGCCAATATGTATTATAGTGGAAAAGGAACAGATATAAATTTAGAAAAAGCTTTTCAATGGTATCAAAAAGCAGTAGAAAATGGTATTAAAGAAGCAATATTTTATTTAGCCAATATGTATTATAACGGAAAAGGAACAGAGAAGAATTTAAAAAGGGCTTTTCATTGGTTTCAAAAGGCAGCAGAAAATGGTATGGAAGAAGCAATATATGTTTTAGCCATGTGTTGTGCAGATGGAGAAGGAACAGATATAAATTTAGAAAAAGCTTTTTATTGGTATCAAAAAGCAGCAGAAAATGGTAACAATGAGGCAATGTTTAATTTAGCTACATATTATAAAGATGGAAAAGGAACAGATATGAATTTAGAAAAAGCCTTTTATTGGTATCAAAAAGCAGCAGAAAGTGGTATTAATGAGGCAATGAATAATTTAGCAGCATATTATTATAGTGGAATTGGAACAAAAAAAAATTTAGAAAAAGCTCTTCATTGGTACCAAAAAGCGGCAGAAAATGGTAATGAAATTGCAATGTTTAAATTAGCTATGTATTATGAAAATGGAGAAGGAGTAGAAAAGAATTTAGAAAAAACTTTTTATTGGTATCAAAAAGCGGCAGAAAATGGTATTAAAGAAGCAATGTTTAATTTAGCCATATGTTATGATATTGGTAAAGGAATAGAAAAGAATATAGAAAAAGCCTTTCATTGGTACCAAAAAGCAACAGGAGAAAATGGTATTAAAGAAGCAATGCTTAATTTAGCTTATTGTTATTATAATGGAGAAGGAACAGAAAAGAATTTAGAAAAAGCCTTTTATTGGTATCAAAGATCAGCAGAAAATGGTAATGAAGATGCAATGTTTAATTTATCTAAACGTTATGAAAATGGAGAAGGAACAGAAATGAATTTGGAAAAAGCCTTTTATTGGTATCAAAAAGTAGCAGAAAGCAATGAGGACAATTCTGAAAATGAAGTTGAATTATGTAGTGAATGTAAACAGCCATATATTGATTACCAGTGGTGCCAAAAATGTAATACTAAACGATTTCAACAAGATTTTTCAAAATGGACTAGTAAAAATGAATTTGTTGATAAATTTATTCAAGAAGCACAATTAAGTGCTAGAAATGGTTATGAAATTTTAGAGTGGATACCATATGATAGATTGTCAGATGTTAATTATTATGACAAAGGAGGATTCAGTGAAATTCATAAAGCTATCTGGTTAGATGGACCTATTTATAGTTGGAATTTTGAAAAACAACAATGGAATAGATGTAATTTTCAAACAGGTTATGAGGTTATTCTTAAAATACTTAATAATTCATCAAATTTAAATAATAAATTTCTGGATGAGGTATATTGTTTATATTAAATATAAAAATTTATTTTCTTTTGCAAAATTTAATAATTTTTTTTTATCATTTATACAGTGGAAATATCATTATAATTGTCAGAAGAAATCATTTTCAAAATTTATTCAATTCTTTGGAATTACCCAAGATCCAAATAATTCAAATTATATGATAGTAATGAGTTATGCAAAAAAGGGAAGTTTGAGAAAATGTTTATCTGATATTAATAAATTTAAATGGCAAGATAGGTTACAATTATTGAAAAGTATTATATTAGGACTTAAAGTAATTCATAGGTCAGATTTAGCTCATGGTGATTTTCATGATGGTAATATTTTAATTTCAGATAATTATAATGAGTTATTTATTATTGATTTAGGATTATGTAAACCTATAAGTGATTTACAGGATTCTGACAATGAAATTTATGGAGTATTGCCTTATATGGCGCCTGAAATATTAAGAAGAAATCCCTATACTCCAGCAAGTGATATTTATAGTTTTTCAATGATAATGTGGGAATTTACATCGGGCATTCCTCCATTTAATTATGAAGCACATGATCTTGAACTTAGTTTGAGTATTTGTGAAGGTGAACGTCCTAAAATTATGAAAAAATACTCCAAAATGTTATATAGATTTAATGAAAAAATGTTGGGATTTGGATCCTTTCAATAGGCCAACTATAATAACACTTGAAAATATTATATCCGAATGGATTAAATGTATTAATAGATATTATGCAGCAAACAGTGATGGAAATTATCTCTATGAAGTACCTGACATCAATAATCAATTAAAAATTGATATGTTGGAATTTATAGAAGGAAACGAAGCTTTAGTTCAAGAACAAGAACAAGAAAATGCTTCTATTATAAAATTTCATCCACAAGCATGTTATACAAGTCGCAAACTTACTGAAATTTATTTCCAAGAAGAATCACAAGATTTTGATTCTATGATTATAGATTAATAATTCAGTTTATTTATTCTTTATTTGTTAGATTATTTATCAGTCAGTTATATATTGAATATCTATATTATGTACTTTTACAATTTTTACAATAAAGTCAGCATTATTAAATACAAGTATGTTAGTTATTGAAATAATGTTTATTATATTTTTATTTTCATTTACAATCTTGCCTAGCAAACTTAATATACAAATCCATACTACAAAATTTACTGTCTTAGAATAATATTATAATAATTACAAATTCTTCCATCCACTAAATTTTCTTTCTGATATGATACTAAAAATCCTTGCACATTGTTGAGATCCAACGTTCTTTTTTAATGATATTCTTTAAAAATATGTAAAGGAATTAAACCAAAATTTCTAAATATACCTAAATATACACCAAAATTATTTTAGATTTGATAATGAAATGTAATAAACAACCACTGAAGAATTATATCAGTTACTAAAAAATGGAATAATGAAATTGAAAAATAAAGGTAGCAAATTAGCGAAACAAGTGAATTAAAAAGAGTGAAGGTATATTAGCATACATCATATACTAGCACACATACAATATTTTATTAGCAGACTTTCATATTTCAAAAACAATAAATTCAATAGATTTATTTTGTTTTTAACATTTTATATGTTTTTATAGATTGTTATCGTAATTCCATATGTTTTATGCAAATCATTTTTGAAGATTTTTATTAAACAGGAATATAAACGTCAATGCAAATTTATAATAAATTAGACAATTACATATAGTGTAAACAATTAAAGACCTAAAAATAAAATCTATTCTAGTATTAGTTAAATAATTTTTACTTAAATTAGTTTCAATCTCTAACCAGCTCTAAATTATGTTAATACAGCATTGTACTATATTTATTTAATCTTATTAAAACCTTTATAAAATTTTTGGCAAATAAGTACAATTAATATTATGTACAAAATTGCCGCAGACTACTTAAATAAGTAAATTGCAAAGTTGAAAATGTTAACTTTTTTAATAATAAAAAAATATAGCTTGTTATTAATAATATCATTTTGAATTATTTTTACTTAAATATGTATTAGTTGTTATAGTTGTTTACTACGTATAGTATAGCATAGTAAATAACTACGCGAGCATCTATTTGATCAGTGATCACTATATAAAATAAACTATTTTAGATTTTGTGTATTTGTGGGGAATGTAAGTTAATATCACTGATTGTTATATAACTATAAATATTAGTAAAAACTGAACGTGAATGTATTAAGATGTATTGTAATAATAGCAAATCAATAAAAATAAACTATAACTACTATAGCTTATCATACTGGTTACATAGTTTATAAACGGCAAAAACAAAATACTAGATGCCCATTAGTGGCCAGGTGATAAAAATAATTATGTGTTAAATGTTCAAAAAAATTTTCTCTTTTATTATTATTATACTAATATAAATTATATTAATTATGCTTCATACAATATATAGCATAATTTTTCATAAAATACAAATAGTAAAAAAAAAATTAATAAACTTATAAAATGATATATCATTTGTTTATGGTTAATTTTTAACCATGTATTCATCTGTAAAAAAAAGTATTTGATTTAAAAATTGCTTATAATTATTAATTATATATTGAACATACCCTAATTTCTACTTGTCATCATTTCGTCATCACCATGCACAATTTCTTAATGAGTTTTGTGCTAGATATTCATTTATTAATTTAACTGAATAATTTGGATATTTATTAAAAATCATTTTCAAATTTTTAGCAATTGGTCTTTTTTTAGGATCATTGCTCCAACATCTTTTCATCAATTCTGCATATTCAGACATAGTACCTTCAATTTTTCAGGTCTAATACCCTTACAAACATCTAAAGAAGAAATTATAAGAAATACACAGTGAAATTCGATAAACCGGATCTATCGGTTCCACTAAAAATATCCGGTTTATCGGGATATCCAGTTTAGCGAAAAAATTTCGATATATTGAAAATCTATTATATTGAATTTTTAAAAAATTTTCATGCTAATAAAACTAATATACACTATAATTTGATTTTTTCATCTAGTTTTAAGTTATAGAGGTCATGAAAATGAATATAAAATATTTTAATTGAATATATAAGTAATACTTAACTTCAGCCGGAATTAAGATTTTTATAATTCCAGCCAAATTTAAGATTTACCGCATCACGTTACTTAAATTTTATTGGTTCCCAGTCACGTGATCCGGTTTATCGAATCATTTTTACTATAGCTGGTTAGAAAATTGATCCGTTATAGCGAATATCGAGCTTTTACTAGTAAACTCCGGTATATCGAGCCTATTTTAATATACGTGATTTGGTTCCAGCAAAAAAGTCAGGTTTAGGCCCAAATCAGGTTTATCGAATATCCGGTTTATCGAATTTCACTGTGTATTATGAAATGCTGGGACTCCTGATGTCAACTCCACATTATTATGCCTAAACTAAATATATCAGCAACTTTTGTATATGGTTTACCAAATGAAACTTCTGGTGCCATATAAGGAAGAATTTCATTTGCATCATTTTTTTGTATTAGATTGATTAACTGGTTACGTAATCCAAGAGAATTCCTTTAAGCTGAGATATAGAAATTAAATGTATAGCTGCGTATCTAATAATTTATTAGAAATTTTAGAATTTTATATCATATCTTATCTCAAATTACTCACTATTGCATTAATCATGAAATAAAATATTTCTATGGCTAATAATAACAAAGTTTAAAACAATTATTCGCCTCATTTAATAAATCCTCGTTAATCATTTAAGCTTTTAAGTATTATAAGGTAACTTTAATTTTTATTAATTTAAGTGGATTTTAATTTGCATATTTATTATCTTGTTCATTTTTAAAAACCGTTCACTTCCAATTTTGTTTCTCATAATTCCTAACAAAATGCCCATATATACTGTGCTAAAACCACCTTATGCAAGAAATTTAATAGTCCCTAATTGTTATATAAAGGATCCATTTAAGCAACTTGCAAATGATTTGGTTAATAAAAAATTTTTTACCAGTAAAGTGTAACATTGAAATAAGCACATTTAACTTTTATTCTGTCGTATTTTGTATGTAAAATTAAGCATGATATTTATTAATTTATGCTACAAAATATAAAAATTTTGTCCAATCAAATTCGAGGTCCAGGAGGATGCTCCTGCGTTTTCAGCCATTTCAACCGTTTATATTTATCTAGGCGAAATCTTATTTGTCACATGCCGTAATGCAGGCCAATTCACGTGAACGCAAAATTTTTGTCGGTACCGCTGAGAATGTTTTAACATCCTGAATACTACGAAATGTAATTATTTTTTATTGCATCAATAGACAAGCGATACCAAATTCTCATATTTTAATACAATATTTTTCCCCTAATCTTTTGAACTGTGGGACGAGAAAATTCATTTTTGATAGATTTTGCAAAAAAAATATCACATAATGGTATGGCATAGTATATTGCCTTGAAATTGAAACATAGATAGCTATAGAATTGTTTCATCTGATTAATTTATCTGAAATCAAATGTAGCATAAATTATAATTTTTTGGACAATCAATTTTAACATGTTTAATATATTTGAATTTTAATACAGAAATAATAAATGAATCAATAAAGATTTTACAAATCCTTTATTCTTTAATGATATTGGCTCTTTAACCATTGTTAAACCTAATACAAGATAGTATAAGATAAAATGATATGATAAAATTGGGCTTTGCTCCATTAATATTACAATAAATATATAGGTACGTGTACATTCCCTATAAAAAAAGAAAATTCAGAATTTGTCCTGAAAAGTATGGAAAATGTCCGGAAATTTTCCGTGCGTCCGGAAAACATTTGGAAACGGTCACGTTTTGGAACATTTTCCGGACGCACAAATTCCAGACATTTTCTTGACACTCCAGAATTTGTCCAGAATTTGTCCAGAATCGAGCGTCCGGAAAATGTTCCAAAACGTGACCGTTTCCGAATGTTTTCCGGACGCACGGAAAATTTCCGGACATTTTCCATACTTTTCAGGACAAATTCTGAATTTTCTTTTTTTATAGGGATTACATAAGAAAAATTTCGATCATTAATTATTGTGATTTTTTTTGAATCTCACTCGATCGAGATGATTAGTTAATAGTAGTCAGGTCTCTTAAAGTTCATATTTTCCTTGGACTAAGGTGTCGGAGCTAAAAACATTGCGATGCATACATTGCTACAAGCAGCAAAACCTGCTTGACAGGCTGGATAAGCAGCTATGGCACCTAAATAATCATAAAATCCTTAAGTTTGAAAAATAAATGTACTGACCCATTTTGAAGAATTAAAGTTGCATTTACCAGCACCGTATGTTGATAAGATTGAGACACCCATACAAGTGTGGTATGCAGTACCACAAGCACCCGCACACGTGGCATAGGATCCAAAGCCAGCATTAACGTTTGAAGACGTGAAAAGCAAGAATGTCAAAATGAATGTAAGCCATATAATGGACCTCAGATTCATGGTGATTATGCGTAATAAATAAATTTTGAATTTTGAATTTGGTCAGATTACTCAGAGAAAAAAAAAGTTGAATGAAATGTTTTTGGGATCATTGGGAATTTATGTGGAAAATTATTCTGTCGCACAGACTTGTCAGATGATCACGAACTCTTGGCAAGGAATGAATTTTCCGATTTTGATGACTTATACTCTGTG